CTTACTATAATATGCTCAGTGATGCTGGTTTCTAAATTTCTAGATTTCCCTCCAAAAACCAAACATCTGTTAAGACTTTACCTGCTTGAGCCGCAACTAGTCCCAGCGTGAGGACAAGCCAGTGAAGCACTGTGACTGATTTCCCCATGTTTATTACTCTTCAGATCCGCAATAATTTGTTGAAATGTACGCAACTGCTCAAGTAAAGACCTGTATCCTTTCTCTGACCAGGAAACGGTTATCTGAATTTCCATGGAAGAAAAAACAACACCCAGTGGTCTGTATAGATCGAGTCAATCATTTACCCACCGCATGATATTTAGCTATCGCAAAGGAATAACAGATGTGACGGGTGGGATCTGGTTACATCTGATTCAACTGTTATCCCCGTGATATCTGATAGCAGCTATAAATATTCATTGCTATCATAAATACTTCTTTTGTTCGTTAGACGACGGTAGAGTTTTTAATCCAGTGGAGAAAGTCCTATCTCCGCAAAGGTTTAAGTGAAGACGCTGCATAAACCGTAAATTTTTAGATTTCAACGATAACGGAATTTGTCTGGTTAGCGATGTGACGGGTGGGATCTGGTTACATCTGATTCAACTGTTATCCCAGTGATATCTGATAGCAGCTATAAATATTCATTGCTATCATAAATACTTCTTTTGTTCGTTAGACGACGGTAGAGTTTTTAATCCAGTGGAGAAAGTCCTATCTCCGCAAAGGTTTAAGTGAAGACGCTGCATAAACCGTAAATTTTTAGATTTCAACGATAACGGAATTTGTCTGGTTAGCATTCCATGGTTTTCAATTAGTAATAGATCACTGAATGGCTGTTTGACACATTAAACCCACCAGTGCCACTTTGCTGCCGTGGAAGTTACAGTTTAGCTAGAGTTAAAAAAAACAAAAACAAAAAAAACACGAACTATCTGTAGGCTAATTGACGCAGATTCGTGTGTTGGGTTCAAGTTCAAGCAAACTCATCATTCATCAACTTGAAGTTGTAGGTTTAAAGGAATAACCTTTAAAGGAATAGTTCGTGCAAAAATGAACATTTAGTGAAAATTGACTCTCAGCCCTTGACCCTCGGCACATCCAAGATGTAGATGTTTCTTCATTGAAACAGATTTGGACAAGTTAGCATTAGGCTACATCACTTGCTCGCCATTGGATCCTCTGCAATTAATGGGTGCCGTCAGAATGAGAGTCCAAAGAGCTGATAAAAACATCTCAATAATCCAAAAGTAATTTACAGGACTCCAGTCCATCAGTTAATGTTTTGTGAAGTGAAAAGCTGCATGTTTGTAGGAATCAAATCCATCAAGGCATTAACTTTAAGGCATAAACAGTCACTTCTGGCAAAAACACCAGGCCATAATTCATAAAAACGCTTCCTCCAGTGAAAACATTTATCCCCTGTAGTCCTCTCACCTCAAAATCCATATTTGTTAAGAACTGTTTTGGACTGTTTTTGCTTGTAAACAGTGCTTAATCTGTATATTTCTCTCCTGATTCAGACAACACTGCTTTTTCACTGGAAGATTCATATTTTAGCCAGAAGCAAAGGTTTGAGGTTACAAATTTCTTAATGATAGATTTGTTTCTTATAAACATGTAGCATTTCACTTCACATGATGTTAATCGATGGACTGGAGTTGTGTGGATTACTTGTGGATTATTGTTTGGACTCTCATTCTGACGGCACCCATTCACTGCAGAGGCTCCATTGGTGAGCAAGTGATGCAATGCTCAATTTCTCCAAATCTGTTCCAATGAAGAACAGATTGGATGGCCCAACGGTTGGTACATTTTCAGCAAATGTTCATTTTGGGGTAAACTACTCCTTAGCTCACTTGACTAACCTACAACAACTTAAAGGTGATGAATGACAAGTTTGTTTGAACTTGAGGGCATTGCTGACCATCTTCGTCCTCTTATTAAACCACAAGAGATGAGTGCACATGAGAGAGTGCTCTTAAAGAGTGACAGAGCAAATGATTAACAGACCAAAACAGAGAAAAAGAGGCGGAGTTGGACAAAGACCACGATCCGCCCCTCTGGACTAAAGGGACACATGAGCGTCTTGCAGTCCAGAGGAAATTAGCACCGCTTTATAACTAGAAAAGGGCTCTGCCCACTCATTAACACCTCGTGTAAAATACCGTCCCGCTCCCCAAGGGAGCCTCTTCAGCCGATGGTGTGGTAGATAGCCGTGAGAGACCCCAGAGGAGACTCTTTCCACTGGCCCATCCTGCCTCTGAGAACCAGACCTTTGGGAGGTTCACTGGGATGTCCTGGTCCCAGAAGGAGGGGCATTTTAATTGAATACTCTCCCCCCTTGTCTAGTTATCTCAGAATAATGGTGGTCTTTATCAGTCGGTGAGCATGTCTTTCTGTTGTGATGGGGCTCCTTTGAGATCCATCCAGGTTGAAGCTCCGTATCCTCCGGTTTGGGGTCACTGGTGGGAAAAAGGCGGATAGCGACTATGCCGCAGTTAATTAAAAAGGGAAAAGATGCCGTCAAAAATGCCTGATTGAATCCGTACCACCAGCCCACCGTTTCAAGAGCGAGAGCATTGGCATTTGAAGATGAATGAAGGGACTTAATAGAATTAGAGTGTTTTGATGGTGTGTTGAATCTCTGGTGGGATGCACATGGGCCTGTGTTTCACATGACTTTAGTATTCATGGGAAGCGGATACGATTGAAGATCTGACTAATCTTCAGTGGATGAATAAAACTCTTAATTGAGCAGCACAGAACTTGATGTTGAGTCCACAACGGAACTGTTTAGAGTGTGGTTTACTTAATAAATGAGATAAATGAGACATGGTCATGTTAATAGTTAAATATAATAGTGCACTTTGATTCAGAGCTACAATGAAGCTTATTTAACACTTAATAAAATGACAGTTTTGTCATCACTTACTCGCCGTTATGTCATTCCAAACCTCCAAAAAAAGGAGTTATTTTTCTAGATTGTATTGGCTGCTCTTTTCTGTACAGTAGTATTTATATAAACACTGAGCTCCGTAAATGACAAAAATCACCACAAATAAATAAAGTTTAGTATTTTTATAATTATCATTTATATTTGCTTATTATTTATTTATGGTGATTTATTTTTTATTTAATGCTGTTTGGTGCAACATTTTTGTCGAAGCACCAAAAAAAAATTGTGGTGATTTTTGGTGAAAAATCACTATAAATAAATACACTTCGTTTATGGTGCTTTTTTCCACCAAATATTATGTTTAAAATATAATATTATGTAGTATTATGCATTTTAATATTTATTTATTTATTGTTTTTTTGTACTTTTTGTTAACAATGTTTTGTCGAATCACCATAACTGTTATGCAGATTTTTGGTGAAAAAGCACAATTAACATTAAATAAACATGAGTAAACAACAAACATTTCAAATGTTTAAATGCATAAACACCATTTATGGTGTTTTTTACCAAATATAATATTAAATAATGTAATATTATTTATCTAATAATATATAATATAAAAAATATATTATGTATTTATTTATTTATTAATTTATCTAGTGATCATTAAATATCACTACAAATAAATAAATCTAAGCATTTCATTTATGGTGATTAGTAGTATTTTTGTCATTTTTCAAGTTCAGTGTCAAAGTTAAATTTTTTTTTTTTACCAAAAATAATATAAAATTAAATAATATAATATTATTTTATATAATAATATATCATATAAAAAGGTATGTATTTATTTATTTATTTATCTGTTATTCATTAAATATCACTACAAATAAATCGATCTACGCATTGTTTATGGTGATTTTTGTCATTTTTGGAGCTCAGTGTGAAAGTATCCATACTGTATATATATTCCATGTCTTTTAAAACCACAAAATTTAAATTTGCTAAAAAAAATTAATCATAGCTTTTAAATCTTGTTTGCATAAATTCAAGTATGGTGCGTCAAGATGGCTTGCACCAGTTTTGACGTCAGTTGCCTCAAACTTACTTTGTTTTGTGTCTAATCTTATGATCGATCATCACTGACATCAAACCAGGTGGGAAAAAAAAAACATTTGGGAACAACGTGAGTAAATAATAACCCATTTAAATTTTTTTTAGGTGGTCTATCAATGTAAAATACTGTAAATGTTGTATGAAATACTATCAATCACTGTCCATCCTCATACAAACTGTGTATTTGTGATTTCACGCTATCTCCTCTTGATATAAAAGAGGAGTGACTGTGCAGATATTTGACATGTAGCTTGAAATGCTTCTCATGTCCTCCAGCTGATAGGATGGAGAGCGTTTGGGAAGGTCGTTCATGTGTGTGGGTGTGGGTGTGGATCAGTGATTGGTCTGGGAACTGCCCTTGGATCAGTTTTTCACAGTCCCTGTAGGGCCCCTTGGGGCCGACCAATGACTTTTTCATTGGCTTTGATTCTTATCAGCCCTTCAGAATCATATTCCCAGGGTTCAAACACCCATGTATGCCCTGCTATGACCCTGACTGTCCTCACACCCTCAAAATCTTAAAATAAGATAGGCTTTTTCTGAGCAGGGCATATCTATGTTTTTGTCGTGTTAAGCGCCTGCAGTATTTGGTTGAATCTAAATCTTGTTAAAGGTATTTCTTGTTATCACATCCCACTGTATTCATTGTTCATGTCAGGGATTTAACATTTTGTTCCTTACATAAAAAATATATTGTATTTTTGTATTTTTTTCTTTAAGTCCCGACTAGCATGAGTGATTTGACAGTATTTTCATATATCTCAGTCCCTTCAAAGCACAATTTAATCCCTGTCTGCTGTGATTTTTGACACTTCGTAAAACGCTCCACTGGATTTTTTTTCCTTCTCTACCTTTACAGTTGTCATGGCAACAGAAAAGTCTATTATAATTCAGACATTTGACAATATGAACGTAATGTCCACACTAACAATAAATCCTCTATTATATTCAGCATTTTTCAGAAGAATAGCACACATGTTCAGGTTTGTGTTTTTTATTTTTGTGGGTTTTTATATAAAATTTGTGTGATATAACATTGCATATATTCATAGATAGATTCTCACCTTACAACAAAGGTCTTTCTACTAAATATCACATTAAAATAAAACAATTTTTGTTTGCTTGCTCATTTAATACCCAATAAAAGACTTAAAGGTACCAAGACTGGTTACTCAATCCTCTGCTAAAAAGCAGATCAAGTTCATACAAGTCAAATAAAGTGACAGAACGTTACTCCATGAATGCGTCATTGCGAGATGGTCGGGTTGGAGGGGTGTTTGAGCCAAAGAAACAAACGAATGAATGAATGAAGGTGAAATGGAGATGCGAATTAATGGTGTACCATGATCACAATGCAAAAGAACCAGTCTAAAGGAACATCGTTACAGACACACGACATTATCCCGGTCTATGTACACGTTCTTGTACCTCCTCCACCATTTTTCTTGTATGCGTGTGGGATTCGAAACATAATACCAAAAAACCATTTACAAAATGGCGTTTTTTCCAAATAGCATTTTGTTGCTATTGCCATTGATGCTCGTAATACTTAAAATAAAAGTCATAACTCATTACAATTCCCAGTATGTACACATTTGTCTCAAAGACGTTGCACAAAGCCAAAGCCGGGGCTCACCCTCATGTCACTTCAAACTTTAAATCTTGTGAAGAACAATACAAGTCATCCGTACAATGGAAGTCAATGGGGTCCAAAACTAAAACTTTGGACCCCATTGACTGTCATTGTACGGTTCTTCACATTTTTTTCTTCTAGGTTCCACCGAAGATAGAAACGCACATTTGGAGTGAGACGAGAGTGAGTAAATGATGCCAAAATTGACATTTTGGGGGGTGAACTATTCCTTTTCTTGCTTCAAATGCTCTTTTTCGTTGTACAAGTCCAGCTGTTTCCAATGACCTCCTTCACAGCGGTGTACCTGATGAGATGTGGGTACCATTCAATCTGTTTTCTTTCGTTTCCAGGTGGCGATCAACAATTCCTGCCTAAGTGTGGACTTAAAAATCTACCTGACGTTTTCCCCCGTACCAACGTTTCACCGCGGAGGGCACCTTAGTGTCTGTCGAAGCGCGAAGAGAAGAGCTCAACAGAAAGTCATACGTAAGAATATGCTTGCACACGACATGAACATACGCTAGTTGAGGTCCATGAAGCATTGCGCCTTCTCAGTCCGTCAATGCCAAATCAGTCATCGCTTGGCGTTTCCGTCTATCGGGTGGCTGGAGTGATGCAGTCCCCTCGCCGAAGACCTGGACTCCACCAAAGAGTCTTGGTCTTCGGTAAAGCTCTCCGGACTGGCGTCGCCATCCAGCAGGCTCCCGCAGCTGGAGTTTGGGCTCAGCATCTCCTGAAGGAGGTCGTCCCGCGCCAGGGTCGCATCTCGGGCGGCACGGGCGGGGGCTTCGCCGCCCACCATGTCGTCCTGGTCGTTGAGGAGCTTGGCCAGGAAGTTGATGTACTTCATGGCCAGGCGGAGGATCTCGTTCTTGCTGAGCTTCTTGTCCGGAGGGTGGGTTGGAATGAGCTTGCGCAGCTCGGCGAAGGCACCGTTCACGTTCTGCTGCCGCCAGCGCTCGCGGCTGTTCGTGAAAATCCGTCGCACGACTTTGGGCTGTGAACCTGCAAAGCAAAGGAAGTGTTTGGTTTGGTGTGTCAAAATCTGCATTTTTTTAGTTCTTGTTCGGAACAAATCTGCGACGTGGTTGAGTGGTTTAACAGTGGTTTCCTTGTGAACACACCTAAGGTGTTCACTCACTTCTCACTGATAGATTAGCTCTTTATCTCCCCCTATTTAGCCAAGAATTAATTAACCTTTCTATTATCTATGGCATTTTACATTCAATTATTCAGGGCCATTTCTCATCCTAGACAGCTCTGTTGGAACAGGGCTATCAATGCTTCACTTTGCCTGATGCACCAGTGACTTCATATAATTACACTTAGTTAAATGGATTCCCAACCTCTTGATAGTTAAGGAATAATTTAAAGCGTTTTTCGAAACGGCGGCGAGGGTAGCGTTACCTTTGATGCTCTTCTATATCGTATAAGAACATATTGTGTTGCGCAGTCGCCGTTTTCGTCTCATTTGAATCCTGCTTTTCTGTCTCAGCACTCGCAGCCAAACACATTGACTCATATTTGCATTTTTATAGGCAAGTCGCAGCTATCTCTCCAGTGCATACACTGATTTTTTTTCCAATTGGCAACTGTAACCACTTTTTTTTCTCTCTCTCACACATCCCTGATTACTGTCTTAAATCTTCTTTGTTTCACAAGATTATTTTGTTCTCCGTTTAGTTTAAGAAATGCATTTCTGTGCAATGCAGTATGATTTTTAGGGATGCAAAGATATTGACATCATGGAAATTGTCACTTTAGCTAACTAATATTTATTTTACAAAAAAAAAAAAAGTGACACAAAGTAACTGTACAGCAAATAAAGACATTGGGAAGTTATCTTGTTATTTTGATCATATTCGTTTTGTTTGCATTCTTCCATATTTTTGCAAAATTACTAAATATTTTCTTTTACTAAATATGGCTTGTTTGGCACATGATGTTGTTTTAAATGGAGAAAATGAGACAGATGATGGATGGCACATCATGAGAAGAAAGAGAAAAGCACAGCCAAAGAGTGGCTATCCATACTTAGAAAGATCTGAAATGCTCCTACCATCGTTGATTTCAACCTCATAAGGTACAGGTCTGCGTTTCACTCGACTGCTGGGATACATCCCATACTGATCCGCTTCTCCAGCAAAATCACTGAGGAGAAACACACGCAATTCAGGACATGCGATGTAAGAAAACTGATGTTTCCTAAAATGTTTCTGTTTATCTGCTTCAAATGTCATTGAACAAAACAGAAAATAGAATAACACAGAATAGAATGTCTTTAAAAATAAGAAAGCACCTAAATATGTAAATAGAAAAGAATAGGATAGAAAAGGCTTAAAAAAGGTGTATATAAAAATACATTTTAATGCATTATATTTATCTTTTACATATTCCAAGAAAAATGAAAAAGTGCTTAAATTGCACTTAAATTAAGGTGTTAGAATGCAATGGACAAAGCTTATAAGAAATGCATATAAAAATACATTTTAATGCATTGTATTATATATTCTAAGGTAAAAATGTCTTTAAAAATAAGAAAGAAATCACTGAAATACTTAAATTATAAAGTACAATAGAAAAGGCTTTGGTAAAGTGTATTAAAATAAATTTGAATGCATTACATTTATCTTTTACATATTACATCGCTGATGGAGAAAACGAAGTGCTTACATATTTGATATAGCCTGGATATAGAATAGAATAGAATAGGCAAGATAGCATGTTTGTACATAAAACATTTCAATGCAATTATATTTTACATATATGTGAGAAAATGAAAACTGATTAAAAAAAAAAAGAAGGTGAATCTTTTACCTTTTTATATATTGTTTATATAATTATTTATTTTAATTCATTATATGTTTCAGTGTCGTTTAATATACATTTTAATAGGCTAAATAAATAATTGCAAGTAACTGTAGGCTCCCATAGCATTACAGTGTAGTCTACCGATCATTTCAGGTACGCTATCATAAAATAAATCATATTTACAGATTGTTTTAGTGTATTACAGAGAAAATATAAAATCGAGAAATTACGGATTTTCAGATAGTTGCAAATATTAAAATGCGCAAAAAGTGGAATACAGATTCATTAAGCAATGTTTTTCATAAATGCATCTTAACTTTGCAACACATTTTTAAATGTTAAATGAAATAAAATATCTTTGTTTGATATCCTACTCAGCACGGAGTGTAACAGCAGAAGTTACCTGTTAATAGTGGCGAGCGGTGGGGTCATGTTGCTGTAGAGCATCGCTCGAGCCGGGAGAGGGAAAGCGGGCGGACTCAACTGCACCATTCGAGTGTCACTCGGCGGCTCTCTGGGAGGCAGCGGCAGTGGAATCGGTGGTCTGCACAGCTCGGTGGTCTGCACCTTATGTCTGATGTCTGCCTTGAGCTCTCTGCCTTTTATATCCGCGCTCCCTCCTCTCCTGGACAGCTCGATCACCGCCACTTCCTTTTTTAGCTCGGTGGCGTGGTGCGCCGTTTCCTTGGCAACGCCATTGAGGACGCCGCGCTCCTCTGGGAGGTGATGCTCTCCCGTCTCCGCCGTCGTGCCTTCCTGTTTCCCGCACGCGTCTCCCTCCGCGCTCGGGCTGAGCGGAAATTGCTCGGATTTCATTTTTTCCATCATACTTGAGTAAAAATCCAAAAAAAGCGGTTTTCCCAAAAGCTTGTATATAGCCTATATAGTGGTATCCAAAGGTAATTATAATTCCCAACCAATCAATCCAGCGGCTGTTTAGCTTCTCATCGGAGGTCGCCTGTGAAAGAACACACCTTTAGGAACATTGATTGAACGCCTGCGTTATTACGCGCGGCGCATAATTTCTGTGCCGAGCGCGGGCGTGACTGGAAACACTGACAGGGTACAGTAATACAGCAGCTCTGTGGAAACACGTGTCATGTGTCTCACTGAGCCATGCAAAGGCCTGATCAGTTTTAGACGTTTGTTCTTGCACCAGTATGAGAGTAAATAGGCTAGTCAAGCAAGATTGCATAAATGTAGCCTACAAACGACAGTTGATGCATTTCAAAGAGTTTTCGGTCAAATTTATTTTATGATATAGGCCTATGTGTGCAGGTGGTGTTTTTTTTTTTGTTTTGTTTTTTGGTCTCGACCTGACCTTGGTCTGTCATATCATCATTCTGTTCATGGTATCTGGAGATAACCGGTGTCTTGGTTGGGAAAGAGCTTATCTTCTGCTAACATGTTCTACATTTTTAACAGAAAATAATGCGTAATTATTACAGGACATATTCAATAACATCTTTATAGATTTGCATGTTAAATCATATTCTTACACTTAAATGACCAACTTTGTTATCATTATGTTGTTGTTGTTTCGGTATTATTTTAACATTGCTCGTAACTATAATCTAAATCACTATAATTTCGTATAGCCTATTTCAATATCAATTCATATTAACCTATTTATTTTAGGGGTGATGTTACTGTCAATATGGTGGCTTCATTTATTTGTATGCGTTGTTTGTCTTTTCATTTTTTTTTTAAATCCAGGAATGGAGCTAAAACGAACATTTTTACGTGAGTAGTTGCGTCCATTTTTGCACATTTATGTCTGGTTTTAAATATTATAGATATTTAAAAACATATTTTAGTTTTTCTATAGTTGACTGTTTGTTTATAATGCCATTTCGTCGTTGATAAAAAAAAAACGATGTCTAAGATTGATGCACGATAATATTCGTTTTATGTTGTTTTCATTCTCAGACAATCCATGTGTCATCAAGTTTATTTTACTGCAAGATCATTATTAATAGCCTACATCATGCCCAATTTAGATACTCTTATACATTTACTCCGTAGCTAGCCTATTTATAATGTATCATCTTCTTATATTTATAATATATGCAAGTGCTTATATTTGCTCAGAGTTGCTTTAAAACAAGCTTTATTTAACAACAAAATCTGACGATAATAAACATAGGCTATTTACACGGTCTCAAATAGATTAATAATTCGACACGTGAATGTCAACAAACTTGAAAAACAAATAATCCGTGTTTACCATATTTAGTAACAAATAACCCGACCACAATGTGAATTTTAGTTTTATAAATGTGAAATATCGATGGGATCCGTCCGTTTATTGATGGAGTTATGATGACTGTTATTTTAAGCACTAAACGGAAAAGAGGAAAATAGCAGGCGGGAGGTTTTGTGTGGAAAATCGAATCGAAATGAATCGAATTTCGTAACTTTAGATTAAACGATCGTGTCTAAAGCGCTCGTTAAATATAAAATAAATGGCGAATCGATATCTGCATTCTGCAGGCTCAAAGGCCTATTTGCTCCAAGACCGAGTACAACCAAATAAAAATTCTATAAATCATATCTGACCTCATATTAATCATCTGGAGTCGATAGAAAGCATAATTGTGACCTGCGTTAGTATCAAAGGAGCGCAGAAACACCAATTTTCGCCTCTTACCGTCGTCGGGCGGTGGATGTTAGTGTGTGCATGGAGCCATTTTGTGGTGGGTCATCCATGTCTGAGGTTTTAGATGCACTGAAGTGCTGTGTGGAACTGGAAGTGAGGTCTATATAATTCCACATCACGTCCAGCGCGCGCCTCTCTCAGTATGGGGAGCGGAACACGGGCGCAATGTGGCCAGGCGAGATAAGAGCGCAGTGGCGGCCACTGCGAGGTCGATAAGCCCCTAAACCCATTATTTATGAAATGATTCATTATTATTTTGCTTTTTATCGAGGGCAAATGTGAAGAGAAAAATATAGACTTATATTGTGAATGGATATGCATAAAAAATAACTCAGCGGATTGAGGGAGGAAACGAATGCGTAATATTGTTGAACTGCTTCAGGGCTCAATCAGAAATTAATTATGCGGCCAAAAGTAACACATTTTCAGTGATATCGGCTGGGGATGTAGGGTTGAAAAGTACCATTAGCGGCTGTTTGTTTTACACATTTCAGCGTTTTCGGGTGTTCAGATTAAACTGGAAATCATGTAGCCTCATAACCCACCCTCGCTGAGTAAAACATGTTAGACAGGTTATAAAGGTAGACAGGCACAAATTGCAAAAGCTAACTGTTGTGAATTCTATTTCATTTCTGGCCAATCCAAAAATGCACAAAAATAATCGCGATAGCCTATGTTAATGATGATTTTAGGGGACGTTGGATTTGATTCTTCAATTTTATTTTCTCTCATTTACCTTTTTGAAGGTACACATCTTCACAAATTGTATGTAATAATTAAGGATGCACTGTGTGTGTGTGTGTGTGCGTGTGTGTGTGTGTGTGTGTATGTGTTATCAGCATTTTTGTTAAATCTAGCAGAATTGGACAATATTGTAAGCAAATGTCTGATATTTGATATTTAGGCCCTTTAAAATGATAAAATAAATAATTCTTCATATTTACTTCTGTATAACTTTACAATGTTTTTGATGCATTATTGTCAAATTCTAAATTAGAGCTTTGAACACTTTTAAAAATGTATTTAGCCTAAAATTTAATAGGCCTACATTTTATTTTAGTCTTTATAGTGATATTTTATCTATCATAATAATATTTTCTCGCTAAGTGTTATTTTTTATACAATGAAAAAATATATAGGCTACAATGTAGAATTCTGGCTTTAACAAAGAAATCTTTATGAGCCAAAATGTCAATATTAGTACATCCTTGATGTTCGATATACGTTATTGAGTATATGCCTATAATGAATAAATTATTGTGACACTTAATATAATAATAGACTATAAAAAACGTCTCTTATTTGCTATATTTGTAGCCCAACGTGCACCTATATTCAGAAACTGTTTCAAAAGGAAATATGATAGGCTACAATTTCATCATAATTTGGTCACTCAGATGTTTTTCTCTGCAGTTACGTGCAAATGTTTACATGTAGCCTACTGGAGATGTTTCGATGATGATGAAGATATGAAGCCCATTAGTTCGTCATCATCGTTGTCAACACATTTACTCAATATTATCACAGTTAACCGTGATTGTCAACACTGGAGAGGGGTGTCAGGTATAGAGGAGAAGGCAGGCAGTTGATAATATATCTTCATGAATGAATGTATGAAATACACGCAGAATAATATGTGGGAAATCAGCTCCATCATCTGAGAGCCTTTGATCTCGGGCCTTTGTTAGTTCATTGCCACGGATTTTGAGTGATTTGGGAAGGATGCCCTGCGAGACTCGCCAGAATTTGGTGTAGGCTAAACCTCAAAGGACCACCTTGCGGAGTGCGATAAGACGGTATCAGTGAGCCAACGACCCCGGGTTCATCCATCAGACAGGGATGAGAGCCACTGGGCGTACTAGTGCTGTTTGGCAGACACTGCCACCATGACAGCTTCCTCCTATGACAAGCTTTTCCCCATGTTTGCTCAATCCAATATAAATCTGCTCTAAATTTACTCGCATTATTTCCAGGTGTTAATAATAAACAGCAAGCCCAAGAACATTAAATTTACCCTTTCAAGATGCAGACTTACTCTCTCCTTCTCACGGTGGACTCAAATCGACCCTTCACACTTGAGGTAAGTTCTTCTTGAGTTCTTCAAACTTTGAAATGACTAAATGTTCGGAAAGCTACATAGCCTATCTTCATTTTTACCCGTTTCCCCATAAACAGGAAAACGGTTGTTGTTTAGAGTCATGATGATCTCGTCACGATTCTCGGTCTCAAGGACGAACTAGTCGTGTCTCTGAACACGCCGATGTCACGAGCAGCTTCCTGCAAGCCTCCCTGGCAAACAGAACTGAGTGAGTTATGGGTGTTTGATTGTGTTCGTACCACTGCACGAAGCACGTCGTTAAATTATTATTAAGTCACTGTAGCTATGACTTCGTTTGAGGTGGGTATCCTTATTAGGATACCCACCTCAAACAAAGTCAACCCAACATAGGCTATAGCCCAAGAAAACGTGTTAGGCTACTGGTCAGTAAAATGTGCAAGGGAAACAAAAAGATATTTGGGTTTGCGTGAGACAAACGTCCTACCGATTTGGCGCAGAAAATTACTGACATCAAAACTGAAGATCGTTGCAGTAGCCTAGACATGCAGTCCAGATGAAGATAAAGGTGAAAAGCATAGGCTACAATAGCATTTGCTGTTCAGCAGTCTATTGATGAGATTTAACAGAACAGATCAGATTAAATAAAATTAATAGGCTTAAAATTGGGTACAAAAACATGTGATATTTGTTATTAGTCATTCATTTGTTTTTATTAAAGGCCACAACAAAACTCAAAATTACTAGGGTAAATGACAAAACGTAGACTATAGACTAGACTAAATTGACAAAGGTAGTAGTCTAACTTGTAGTTCAGTTGGCTAAGTGAATTCAGTAAGCGCTCTAAGTGAATTAGTGTTTTTGGTTCACTGAAAAGAAAGGCCGACTCAAAAGAGTCATTCGTTTGGGAATCGAACTGTTTTATTCTCTGCATGTTTTTGATTCGGTAAAATGAACTGTCTCAAATTGATACCATTGGTTGTTCATTTTGGCTTTGATTCACTGTAAGAACCGGCTCATAAGGATAATTCGTTTAGGAATCGGACTACCACTAGTCGCGCTGTAGGCCTAATGTTTTTTGACTCACTGAAAAGAACCTGTTCATAAGAGTTATTTGTTCATTGGGAACCGTGGTCCTGCGGGTTTTGTTCACTATAAAGAACCGACTCAGAGTAGTTCATTCCAAACGAACAAAAACAACAAGTTTTACGAAACTGGGGACAAACTGAGAACTTGAGGCATGATAGAAAATTGGAGGAACATTTATAATGGTGATTACGCCCTCTAATGGTGTGATTTGGTATTGGCAGCAGCATGAATTTTTAAAAAGTGTCTGCGCAAATTTTCTCAATGCAGCATCGCCCTCTTATGGTTAGACACTGCATGACATATTACACTCATAGTTACTAATGTAATGGTAGCTGTTCATGCTATGTGAAATAATGAAGTACTGTAATTATGCTCATGCTACAGGATATGCTTTTGAAATGGAAAACATTGACGATTAGCCCACGATTTGTTGGTACAAATGAAAAGAGTGAATAAGACGGAAAAAAATCATTAAGGGAGAGGTTGAGGAAGTTCTCTTACAGCAATGTAAAATATTTTCTACATTATACAGATCACACTTCATCTGCGTTATGTGTAGTAGTTTATTTATTTATTAGAATATAGCTTATATTCCTAATATACTGTAGCTTTATTATTATATAGCACTAATATTTTAGCAGTGGTGACATACATAAGGCTTTGTGTGCTATTCCTGACAATAGTTTAAGACCTAATAACATTATAATACCATATAGAAATGAAAACCAAGGTTTTAGCTCATTCTGTACAAAAAAAAAAAAAACTTTAATAATTTAAAACAATGACCACTATGGAAAATCAAAGATAGAATATTATGTGGGATGATAATCACAATTAAGTCCATTTTTATGTTAAATCAGTTGTAGTCTGTGTTTATATAATTTGTATTCAATAATTTACTGTGCATATTTTGTTTCGTGTCTTGCAGGTACCTAAAATGTCCACAAGATAGAGCTATTCACTAAGCTCCTCCTGCATTTGTGTCCTGTCTTTAGTCCGTATAAGGTCATGCAGTTTGTCTTCACTGAAAAGAGGAGCTTTATGGAAAGTTGTTTTCACAAGGAAGACATTCTTTCCACTTAAGCCAGGTCACGCCACCCCTCCCCACCCCTCCTGACATATTTGCCTTGTGCAACCTACATGTAGGATTATAGACAAAGTAAACCTATGGATCTTCATATTAGACATACATTAAGTCTAACTATTGACAGATTTCCATAGTTTAGCAACATTGGCAAACCCTGCTTGATTTTTGTATAACACAGACAAAACCTGAGGAAATGACAGTTATATAATCTATAGCCGGTTATTTCCAGTACTCTAAACAGTGTTCCTTTTGTATCTCCAAAGGTTTTTGCACCAAAGGGCGGCTGCTGAATCTCTTGTTACAGAGTCAGCAGAATTAGTAGCGTCTGACATGGACTTTCATGTGGCTACTGTAAACCGTACTATAGTAACCCACAGCTGGCTCAGTGTGAGTGACACAGCGTCATCAAGTGAGAGCGACGAAGAAATGAGGTCATGAATAAACAGAAGTGAAAGGGGTCAGTGTGCTGTTTTCTCATCAGGACCTACTACAGAGTATTTTTTCAATGCCTCGCTTGGCAAGAAATTGAGGGTGTGTTCCTTAAGTTGAGGGTGGAATTTCTTGATTCACAGCTGTAATTTACAACATCGGTATAACTTACATAAAAGTACTATGGTAGAAGCAGTAATTATATCAGATAATAGTATTGAATGATTACCATATTCATACACTATAATATTTAAATCCCTTACAGAAAAGTAAAGACTGTACTATGGTAAAATTATGGTAGACCATGTTACTTGTATTTATGTACTATGGTATTTATATGATACTCCAAGAATAACATTATATTTACATGATATATGTCCTAAAGATGTGTTAGTTTACTTCA